AATCATACAGAATTGCTAACAAGCATGTCTCACATCTGTGTCATTCAATTTCAAAGCTAATTTTGCTAAATGTTTTCCTCTTTCTTTTTTTCCCCCCTAGCATGACAACTAACTGGCTACAACCAGCCTTAAATGATTCTTTTGTAATTATTTAAAAATACTCTACATATATTAAAAAAATATACTCAAAACTGAGTTCTACCTGTATAAGAAAAGAATGCTCAAAACTGAGTTAGATAGGAAATAATCAAGTGTACATTCTTCATCTACAAGTCAAAGCTTATTTTTAATTATAATGGCATCCTGTAAGTGGGGAGAGGAGAGGACTAAAGGATGAGGAAATCCTCTGGTTTCTTATTTTAGGCTGGAAACATCGATGTTTTATTATACTATATTAAACAATAATTGCTCAAATGTAAAAATACAAGACTAAATGAATAAGGCAATTCCTGTATTCAAGGATGAATGAGGATATTAAACCTTCACCCCTCCAACTCCTGCAAATGGCATAATAAGTATATTTCTAATGCTTCATTCATGGGAAATCTCATTTTATGTAGTGTTTAAGTATAGTAAATGGTCAAAAGCATTCCATTAACCAGAAGCCGTGAAGTCAATGGGGTGGCTGTTGCAGCATTTAGTCTCCTCAGAGTGGTAAAAGGAATAGTCAACAAAACAGAGAGGAGCTGGATGTAAGTGGAAGATGAAGCAGAGCAAAATGTGATGCATTTTAAAAAATATGTTAGGTAGAAGGTAGAAACAAAGAAAACGTAAGCACAAGCACTTGCCAAAGAACATAAAAACTTTTCATACTCTTTTCAGCCAGGGTGCACATCAATAGCACCTCAGGATACTATGAAGAGATGTTTTTTAAGAGTCAAAAGCAATCACTTGTGCTGCAGATTCCAATGTTACTTTTGGCTGAATAAAGTTTCTATAACTCATATTGCTTGGATCTGAGTGGAATCCAAGACTTAACACACAGAAACACCAACTAGAGCAGAAAGCTTGTAAAATGAAGCAGCCCAAAGCTGATGGTAGCTGAAGCTCTCTGAAAATGTGGAGGCAGCAGAGAAGGTTCACAGTGCATTTCACAGTGCATCTGTAACAAGCGAAATCAACAAAATGAATATCAGCTGGGACATAGCCATAAATCTCCTTTTAGCAATTTGTAGTCCCTTAGCATTCAATCTAACTGGAAAAAGATGACAACTATAAAACTCTCTTGCAGCTTCAGAAGAAAACTAGTAAAAATGTTACACGGACACCATGAGAATCTGAAGGATGGGAAACATGATGAGATTTATGATTTGAAGCATTAACTTTAAATCACTGCAGCCTTTTTAACCTCTCCAATTACAACAGCAGAATAAAATTATGCATTACAACCACAAGCAAAAAAACATAACTAGCAGCAAGCACAAGTAGAAGGGTGACCTTGATCAAAGACCCCAAGAACACAGAAATTTATATATTCATGAGAAATACTGACGCAAGAGTGGAACAAGGACTGCAGAGGCATTTGGTTCTCCAGAAGAAAAATTAGCAATCAAATGAGTTTCAAAGGAAAGAAAGGTCTTGGCAGGAGACTCCTCAATTCTTGGGACAAGTTTCTGGGTTTTAATGGAAAAAAATATGAGAAATGTTGAGTGAGAGTTGTCTGACTAAACATGTATCAAGATCTGACCTAAGCATGAGGACTACCTTTATGGTTGTCAGAGACAAAGGAGATTATCATTCTGCAGCAGTCCCCTACAGAACAGTCAGAAGGATTATACCCTAAAAAGTCCTTGATTGTAAAGAGAACCTTGGTTGATAACTTCAGATGTAGACCTATACACTTCACTTGCTCAGAATTAGGTGTTACAAGTCATTCTCTCAGTGTCACCCCAACTCAGCCACACCTAGAAGGCAAAGCATTTCAGAACAAGAGTCATAAGACTTAGCACTTGCTTTGTTGGAGGAAGGCGGCTCTTTTATGAGATGATGGGAGGAATCATGAACTGCTTAGTGAAACCATTTCGAGCAGGTCAGAAAGTAGTTTCTCTTTCAGAGTCTTAATTCTGCCTTCCAGCTTCAAATCATAGAATCACAGAATAGCTTGTGCTGAAAGATACCTTAAAGATCATGTAGTTCCAATCCCCTGCCGTGGGCAGGGACACCTTCCACTAGATCAGGTTTCTCAGAGCCCCATCCAACCTGGCCTTGAACACTTCCAGGGATGTGGCATCCATAACTTCTCTGGGCAACCTCTTAAAGTGCCTTACTACCCCCACAGTAAAGAATTTCTTCCTAATATCTAATCTAAACATACTCTCAGTTTAAAGCCGTTCTCCTTTGTCTTATCACTACATGCCCTTGTAAAAAGTCCCTCTTCAGATTTCTTTTAGGCTCCCTTCAGGTACTGAAAGGCTGCAATTATTTCACCCTGAAGCTTTCCCTTCTCCAGGCTGAACAATCCCAATTCACTCAGCCTTTCCTCATAGAAGAGGTGCTCTAGCCCTCCAATCATGCTGAAATTGGAACAGAACAAGAGCCAGCCTGAACAAATCTCCATCATGCACTGGGGTAATGAACTGATAATTATGATAGCCCACAGGCATCTCTGTCTGCACTGCCTAAACCAAACAGCTCTTTCTCATCAAATCAGAAAAGAGGCTCAATCATAGGGGAGTTTTTCTTCCTGTCTCATTAATTCACTTTCTGTGAAGCCAATAATATCAGTCCGGAACCTTTTCCAACATATGCATTTCTCACGTTTGTTTTTCTCTGCTTGAGGCAATGGAAGAACAAATGAACGTAATGTGATGATGCCTTTAAGCCATTAACTGCCCAACAGCAAGGACGTAGAGCTTGTGGGAGAGAAGCATCTCAAAAATGCCCATTTTTGGGAGCTTCATCGTATAAAATTAATTTAAGTGACTAGGAGTTGTCCTTTTATTTTTTAAAGTGTAATACTTAAAGCTGATCTCCTTAATCACTGAGAATAAGACAACTTAGTAAATGCAAATCTTTCATACTGAATGACCTGCTATTGATCTACAAATGCACTAAGTAATGTAAACTCTTTCTCAATATGATTAAAACCTTTTACTTCTCATATGTATGGATCTTGGCTATCACTGGGGAGCTTCTAGATCATACAATAGAAACTTTATAGCTTAAGTGAAGGGAGTTAAGTACTTTTGCTTATGGTTATGAAACAGTTCTTATCTTTCATGGTTCAAGCACAGCCAAAGACATGCAATACATACTAAGAAGAGTTTACATGCAAATGTACAGACTGATGAACTCTCAAAGGTACATTATGCTGTCTTTTCTAGCTCTGTACAGATGTACCTTGAGTGCAGTAAAATAACTTAAAGTTGTCATGAGGGGAAAAAATGTTTCAAATGGCATTTATAAATTCAATATATCATTCAATTTATACAATTAAGAAAAGTTTAAATTGCTAATTTTTAAAAAATGTAGAACATCTTAAAAGATGTTGATTTAATTATTTAGAAGTGCTTCAGTTGCTCGAAGTGTTACTTTAATTTAGAAAGCCTTTGAAATATGCAGAGATTTAAAATTCAACAAACTTTTAAAATCGATCAAAAAATTCCTTCTCTTAACTCTATTCTTTCATTAATTAAAAATATTTTTCATTCCAATTGTTCTAAATGCAATTTTCAGCTAAGAATGCCCATGTGACTTTGGTTTCAAACAGTAAAGAGCCACAATAATTAAGTAATTTTTATTTTTATTTTGGATCTATGTTAAAGAAAACAAAGCAAACTCAGAGAAAAAAACAGTTTACGACCTTTGCAAGAACAGGCAGGCAACTCAGGAAGAGTACAAGGATGTCATTAGGTCACATAGAGAGAAAATTGGAAAGGCAAAAACTCGGCTAGAACTCAATCTGGCAACTGCTGTGAAAGATAATAAAAAGTGTTTTTATAAATATATTAACAACAAAAGGAATGACCTCTTCTCCCTGGCAACTAGTGACAGGATGACAGGAAATGGTCTCAAGCTGCACCCGGGGAAGTTCAGGTTGGACATCAGGAAGAATTTCTTCACTGAAAGGACTGTCAAATATTGAAACAGGCTGCCCAGGGAGGTGGTGGAATCATCATCCCTGGAAGTGTGGAAGAAACTGGATGTGGTGCTTAGTGCTATGGTTTAGTTGACATGATGGTGTTCAGTCAAAGGCGATTGGTCAAATGATCTTAGAAATCCTTTCCAACCCTAATGATTCTATGATTGTGTTACCATATCAGGAACTCAGATGTGTTACCACTGGAACAGGTAGAGGTGTTTCTTTCAAAGTTGCATTTTTTAGGATTCAGCCCATTTCTTGTATGTTTCTCTTTATAATGGCAACTGGATTCTGTTTTCCTCAAGGCAGGACTGTCTTCCATTTAATCACATTAAAATTAAAAATTGAATATTTTTCGATTGCAACCTGAATGTCATACAAAAAAATAACTCTTCATAAATAACCATTCTGCATTGCTACTTACTGTTAACATGATATGATGTGATCTATAAATGATGTTCTGATTATTAGCAGACTTTACCTTCCAGCTGTAAATACTAAGTACTGACTGAAAGGAATGAAACCAATTAATTTAAAAATGGATACACTACTAGCCTTCAATTAATTAATAACACCGTTTTTACTGACCAGCAGGAAGCCTGATAAAGTTCCATGAAGAATTCACTATAAAACCATTGGACTTAAATGGAGAAAAAATCCTTAATTTACAGTTCCTAAAAACAACAATAAGTTCTAAAGACAATGGCAGATTTATGGTCTCCTAGAACAGTAAAACTTCTATAATTATGTGATATAGCTATCGTACATGAAAATTCGTGTAATATTTTCTGGTCAAAACCTCATATAATACAGATTGCTTTCCTGCTTAATCTTGAAAATCATCTACAGCATTTCTCTGTAAACATTAAGTTGTTGAATGATAAAAATCTGACAGTTCTAGGTACTGAAGATTACTCACCCTTGAAGGTCTCACTGCAGTATAAATTACTGAAAAATGAATCCCTCGTTCCTGCAGATCCATGGTCACTTTTCTGATTATTTTGTCTGTAAATAGAAATATGCATAATTTAACAAACTCTGTAAGATTAGAAAGCTAAAATCCTACAGTAGTTGGAGAAGTAATGAGCTAGATGTTTAAGCTTATTTGCTCTATTTAAGCAATTTAAGCGCTCATACCATTTATAGGTCAATAGGTAAAAATGGGATAACATGTTCAGTGTCTTGACAAATGCAAAATTTCACTGAAATAATACCAAAAAATACATTACAACAGTGCAGAAAAAAGCAGTGGTTTTGGAACTGAAAAGTAAGTATCATAGAAACAGTACCCAAAAGTTTGAACTTTGGGTAATTGAAAACAAGAGCAGAAGAAATCACTTAAAAGATGAGAGCAGGATGCATATACTGTTAGTCAAGGGATGAATTAATAAATAAATAATAAAGTTTAAGAAGTATTATTCTGTGAATTACAAAGTATACAGAACCTATCACTGAGAAACAATACTCAAAACACAGTGCTTAGTGTGGAGTATGATATGCATAATATTGGCAGCAATATTTCTTTTGGCTTCAGTGGATTTAAAGCCTAGTTCTGCACCCTCAATAGGATACAGAAAATTTTGCTGTTGACTACAGTGGAGGCCAAAGGAGAAATATGGTGGAATATTTCTGGAAAAGGAAGGAGAAGTCTAGTAAGGAAGAGAGAACCTTTCAAAGAAGTCAATTATGCCTCTACAGAAGATCCTCCTTCAGTTCTGAAACCACAGGCAGTTGCAACAAATACTTAAAACCGATAAGTATTTTCAAGGTCTATGCAGGAATATTAACATCTGCTTATAAGGAGCATAATAGTTATGAATCATTAACATTATTAGTCTTGTTATTTGGACTGCTAGAGAAACAAGCAAGTAGACTCACATTTACTGTTTCAGTGCCTTCCCACTTCTCATCCATGTACCAGACTGGTGAATGGATATTTTATAGCCTGGACACACAGATTTCTCAGGTTTTGAGGTTATATTTTACAGAAATTGTGTTTTATTTTCATCTACTGGAAATGGAGCTTTTATTATTATCCTCTTTAATCTCTTCTATTTACCCTAATTATGGTCTCCTGGCTGAGTAAAATGTTTAGCTTCTGTAAGAATGCAAATGCACTAGTTTTTCTGCAGGTTTTAACCAAACTGATTGCCTCATAACAGTCAAGAGTCATAGCTATGTAAATTTTCCTTCTAAAAATTATTGTTAAAAGGATCTACTATCAGAAATATACTTATTAGTCAGAAGAACAACTGCTTAACTACTACTACTGTAATTATATTGGTTATGGAGATCTAAGGCATTACATAGCATAGATTCATAAATTTTGGAAATTCTCATCAGATTCATAGATTTTGGAAATTTGCATCAGTCTCAACTAAAATTTGCAGAAGAAAAAAATAATACTTATAAAAATGCACAGATTGACTTCGGTTTTCTCTTTCATTAAAGAAATCAATAGCTTTCTGAAATAACATGTTATTTGCATTTCACTTCAGAAAGGAGCTACGTGTAACTATAGTTACCAGTAGCATCTATAACTCGTGCCTTTGGGAAGATTCTAGAGGCAATTCCTTCATTCAGAGAAGCTTTTGTGAACAGAGTTGATATAGATCTTTGTCTGTGATCAGAACTCTACCTCATGAAGTATTTTCAAATTCTCCAAGGAAAAGGGCCCGGGTTGTCCACTATACTTTAAAGGCCCTAAATTATATGCCTACATGAGAGCAGTAGTGCAGATTTTGCACTTGGTCATGCAAAGTGGCACATCTTCCCTGATCCACACATCTTTTTCCCAATTAACAGCTAACTGACATGAACCCAAGAATTGGTATATCCTGATCTTCCGTCCTCCCACAGGTCACCCGTTAACTTTGCTTTTCCAAAACAAAGTGGCCTGAGACAACAGTGGTATGACTAGACAGTGTGCCCTGGCCTCCAAAAGGGCCAGCTGTGTCCTGGGTGCATCAGGCAAAGCATCGCCAGCCAGTCGAGAGAGGTGATTGTTCTGCTCTGCTCTGCACTGGGGTGCCCTCACCTTGAATATTGTGTGCAGTTAAGCTAGACATTAAGCTATTAGAGAGTGTCCAAAAGAGGACAATGAAGATGGCAAAGGGCCTCGAGCGGAAGCCACTTGAGAAGTGGCTGAGGGCACTTGGTTTGTTCAGCGTGGAGGAGGCTGAGGGGAGACCTCACTGCAATCTTCAACATCCTCACGAGGAGAAGTGGAGGGGCAGGCACTGATCTCTTCACTCTCGTGACCAGTGACAGGACTGGAGGAAATGGCATGAAACTGAGCCAGGGGAGGTTTAGGTTGGATATCAGGAAAAGGTTTTTCACCCAGAGGGTGGTTGGGTACTTGAACAGGCTCCCCAGGAAAGCTGGTCACAGCACCAAGCCTGACGGAGTTCAAGAAGAGTTTGGACAATGCTTTCAGGCACATGGGGCTGTCCTGTGCAGGGCCAGCAGCTGGACTCAATGATCCTTGTGGGTCCCTTCCAACTCAGCATATTCTATGATTCTATGGTTTGGGAAGCTTATTCTACAGTCTGTGTAGCTGATGAAAGAACTGTCCCATAAAGAAAAAGCCAATGTTTAGCCAAGGCCAACATTAAGCCAAGGCTTAATGCTCTGGGGACAAGAAAAGAGAAAATAACTCCTCTGCCATTCAGAGATGGAAATTCAACTGGTTGTTTGAGTATAAAACCCATTCATTTTGGAGTACTGCAAAAACATAGAAAAGGACTCACTAATGATTTCAGTACTAAGATACTTCTTTCTTAATTTCAAATCTCCTTCTGATTTTACACCCCCAGCTCTGAACAGAAACAGTCATTGGCACTAATAACACTGTTTAATTATCAGCCCACTACACTACACTGTATACTCCCAAAACTACCATGTCAGTGATTGGCAGACCTTATAACTCAATCCCTAATTTAGAGTTGTAAGTGAAAGCCCTGCAAAAAAATGAGATGCCGCTCAGTGCCTCTTTGGTGTATGGCATCTCTTTTTCAACCAGACGTTAGGGAAGAAAAAGTTTTTTTTATAGTGTCATATGGAAAGATTCAACTCTAACAAGTAGTCCTTAATAACCACAATCCCAATAAAAGACTTTGATATCAAAGGCAATGAATTGTTTTACAAAGATTAGAAAAACATTTCCTATTCGTGCAGACACCCTCTGTTGAGATCAAGGCCTTGGAACTGCTGGATGAGCCTGGCACCTTCAGCTCCCAGTGTGCAAGGTGAGAAACAAGGAGGCAGTCCAAGCTGCATGGAGACACAAGGTTCGTACTTGGAATACGAACAAAGGCCCATGCCTGAAGCAGAGATGAATTATTACTACATTTCAGGTCACAGAGCCATATCCAGTTTGGTGGATTTTGAATCAGACACTCAGTATTTCAACACTATGATAATCGTCTGCTTATAAGTACTACAGATGGGGGGGAGTAAAATCTTTAAATAGTAAAAAGCAAAGACCAAGAACTAGAGTACACAATCAGCTCCAGTGACAACACAGACTTAAATGATGAAATGTTGGTTATATCTTGGTCATATTACTCACCATTTTCAGCAATTGCTTCTAGGGTGGAAATCTCTTTTAAACCACTACAGAAAGAGTGGAAGAAAAATAATTAAAAATCTTTTCTAGGAAAAACAATGAGAACCACAAATGTATGAAGATACTGACTAGTAAAAGCATTACAGTCAGTGTCAGTCCCTCCATCATTCTCTCGTCTCCTCCTAATGACCATTTTCTTCTACAAAGCCATTAAAAGTACAAGGATCATAATCTTCAGCTGATTCCTTAAACCCCTCAAACTTCCTAGGCTACTAATGTTATTTCGATCAATCTTCAGGCAGCTTTCTTTTCATTTGGTATTGGCCCCTTGTCTACCATTAGTACATGAGCTCCTTAAAACAAGTATCATGCCTCTTTCTGTGAAGTTATGTGACAGCTAGAATTGCACTTCTTTCGGACACAGATATATGCACCTTACACTGACATGCATGTCATGATGTCCAAATGCCCAAGTAAAAGGCTGGGGAGAAGAAAGAGCAGGAGCAGCTGAGCAACTATGCCTTATATTTTCTAAATATACATTCACCTGAAGGAACAGTCTCACTCTACCTCTGTTAAATCACAGTCCTCATAGGGCTGGAAACATGAAGAATTATAGCCCACCTCTTCCTTCCAGAGTGATGAAAATCAGTCTCTTTATTCATATTAGCTTCAGGTTTGTCTGCATGATTAGTTGCTTGCTTATTTATTCTGCCAGGGTTTTTTTGACCCCTGGTATGCCTTCTAGCAATTAATTCTGCAGGTTAATCATGTGTTGAGTAAAATAATTGAGCCTTTCTGCTAAAAGTGTGTTGCCATTTAGTTTTATCAGCTGTCCCTTTGTTCTCATATAATGAGTCAGACAAAATAGACATGCCTGACTGCCTTGCTCAACATAATTTATCTATTATACCTGGTAAGCTCATCAGGGGGCTTTGAAAAACACTGAATTCACCCTTGTAAGAGCCCTGTAAGCTTCTATTCTGTTTTTTGAATTTCCTGAATACAACTGATGTTTGCAAAAGCTCTAAAATTCATGCACACATGTGGGTCAGTTCTGTTTGTGATAAGCTCCTACCTGACAAGTGGTTGTAGTTGAACCACCAGTAAGTTTCCTTCGGATGCATTCACTTCCAGCTGAGACACATTGAGATTAGTTACATTTGTTAACTTCCAATCTCCTGACTCCTGAAGAAAGCTCAGAAGATACCTGGTAGCCTCACAGTCAACAGCTGGTAAAACTAAAGATGAAGGAGAAGACTGAAGAATTTCCTGTAATAAATTTATGAACAGTTTATTTACTTGCTTAATATTTAGTTGCTTAATAATTACACACAAACCTTCTTTTTTTTTTTTTTTTAAGTATCCTTAATTTAATATTCAAGGTGAGGAACCACCACGGTAAACATCACGTGAATTCTCACCAGCCTGATGCTGGCGGCAGCCTGCTTCTGGAAAGGGGCAGTGGAGAGACACTTGCATTGCTCTTATTCCTGAACATTCTTGCAGCAAGCTTAAAGTGCTCAGTTACACCATCTTCTTACTTGCCCTTTCCACACGTGTGGTGTAAGAGGAGAGACAGATGATGTAGAAGTTCTCAAGCTAAGAGTGTACTGGAGATGAGCGTACAGGTTTTGAACGCTCCCAAAACCAAAGCTCACACCACCCTCTAACTAAATGCCCTCGTGAGTGACAAGGAACAATGTCAAACACCTCCAGTTCCAGCAGCTTCAGTAAAGAGTCATATTTTGCATAATAAACACTCTGTACATCCTGGTGGTACAGCACATGGTACAGACAAGTGTCTAATTTGTAGCTGCTAATTAAAAAAGCTATATATTTCAGGATGTACAGAGCCTCCAGACACAAAAACAAACAAAGCTTATGTCATGTACTTTCTACTTGAAGTAGAAAAGTAGCTTTGTTTGTTTATAAAGCTCAGGCTGAATTGGTTCAGATGATAAAGCATAAGGGTATCCATCAGCTTATTTACAATTCTCATAGCTGAGTTTCTGATAAAAATACTTGAGTGAAATTAATTGAAAAACATTCTCATTCTGTAAATTTTAAACCCTCATAGTCAAAAAACATTTTTCCAAAGATTTTTCTTGATAATAAAATTAAATATTTGGGGAAACAAAATACAAGATGAAGACTTGAAAATTATCAAAATTAATGTACCCCAACTTTAATGTTGTGGTAGGTTGACTCTGGCCTGTTGCCAGGTGCCAAACAAATCTGCTTTGTCACTGCTCTCTTCAACTATACAAGGAAGAGAAAATAAAACAAAAGGCTCATGGGTCAGGAAGAGGTCACTCACTAACTACTGTCATAAGAAAAACAGACCTGACTTGGAGAAATTAATTACAACTTGTTAACTTTGCTTTCCCATTTTCTACATTTAAGTCTAGACTAAGTCTGTCACTTAATCCAACATTCAGATATTCAGGTTGTTACAGACTCTTTCTCTCCCTCTGATGCAAGTGTTGTAGTGTTGCTAACACTTTCCTCCTACTGTTCTTTTTTCCTTTTTGTCTCTGGCTGCCTACCACTTTTTTGACCTGCTTTGGTTCTTTCTAATTGTTCACGTTTTCCTTCCTAGGCAAGGGCTAGTTATTTTCACATTTCTATAGATGCTTATAAGAGAGGATTATGCAGTATTGTCTGACTTGCCAGACTAATAAATAAAAAACTGCAGAAATTGAAATAGAGCAGAAAGCACTGATCTTGTTTACAGGTCTTAGAGCAGCAATTTTAGCACCACCTGGAAGGAAAAGATAAATTTTGGTTTGTTTACAGATATGAATTTAGAGCTGAAATTCTGAGCATTTCAATGATTTCGGTTTTTTTTCAATATTTTAATCCCTTGTCCCATAGTAGCAGCCAGAATGACAGCAGTCACTTTTTCCAAGGATATATATTAAGTAGATTACTCATATATTGTAGAATAAGATATAAAATGCATCATTACTGAGTAATATCTGAACTGTGCCTTTGCTCCTAACCAATCCTACACTGCCACCTGTCTCAGCATCCAGCCGTTGGTATTCAACTGTTTTCCATCTGAAGGGTAGAAACAGCTGGATATCAATTCCTTAGCCTCAGTCATTCTAATCATGCATTTTGTTCGTCCATCTTGACATTTGGCAACAGTGCACTTTTCTCTTCAATACCCCTATGTCACTTTACACATTTTAGGGTTTCAGTTACTACGCTTGTTCAAAAAATGAGAACTCCAAAAGAGGGTGGAGAATGAAGAGGACTATTGAGAAACACCTGATTTTTTATCATGCTAAAGAAAAGAGGTACAACCACACAGTAGCTAGAAATGGGAGAGGGAGGGGGAGATGGAGAGGGAGAGACAGAGAGAGGAAAAAAAGGGAAAGGGAAAGGGAAAGGGAAAGGGAAAGGGAAAGGGAAAGGGAAAGGGAAAGGGAAAGGGAAAGGGAAAGGGAAAGGGAGGGAAAGGGAGAGGGAAGAAAACCTCCTATTGAACTGTCAGATGGACAGCAGAACTTCCTACACCAAATGCAGTATCTATAACCTGTTTATGGGCAGCTTACTCTGATTATGAGCACGTTTACTTTCTTTAGTGTCCCTTCAAGCAATCTCCTTGGAGAAACAGATAGAAACATCATTCTTGGATGACATATACCACTGGTCAGGGTTTTTTGAAGGTAGGTTTGGGATGACTGTCCACATTTCTAGCCATCCTGAAGTAGCTGCATTAGGATAAATCTGTGCCCAGACTTACTTGTCCTTACTTCAGTGTTATAACTGCACTGATATTACACCTAAGCTATTTGAAGCTTGAATGGTGTAAATTTAGGTCTATCACTAAAATCTTATTGTTGAAATCTTTGTTAAAAACTTATGCATTTGCCTGTAAAAGATCATGTAGGTCTACTCAAGGTTCTGAATTAGTTCATTTGGCATCAAAGTTGATAGACAGTCCTATAATAATAAATATTAGTTGGGAAAAAGATTCCTGTTTGAGCTGCAGAAATATCTGGAAACCTATGTTTGAAGCAGACAGGCTCTTCCATGTAAAAGAAATAATTTGATTATTTTTTTTAACTGTATGTCATTTAAAATATTAAAGTATTGTATTTATGTTCTACAGCATTGGTCAATGGGTTATGTGTAAAAACGAAAAATCTATTTAAACAGATTAGGAAGGTCATCTGTTTCTACACACAGTGATAACTGCAAAGAAAGTTATAATCATTTAATTTTAACTTTCCAATTACTATCTATCTTATAAACTCTTACACTGTAGGTGTATCCTTCAAATGTATGCATAAAGCTATACATTATGATTTTAATGAAAACTGATCTGATGTCCTTCTGCTAATAAAGTGTATTGCAAATACAGGAAGTACTGTTGAACAAACCTCCGTACTACTATGCTGTATAGCGGGAAACATGACACAAGATTTTTTTTTCCCAAGGGTTACAGAACCATCCAAAGAACTAGAGAGAAGAAAACCTGAAGTCCAAGAAAGGGAGGAAGTATTCCAAAGAATTAAATACAGACTATAACAACAAGGAAGGATTATATTGGGGAAAAGCTTGACATGGCTTTTGTGAAAAGTTTTGCCTCACAATTCTGCTGAAAATCTCCAAAGGAGTCAATAATCATGCACACTAGGAAGCTCTAGCTGGTACTGTCCACTTGGATCCACAAAAGGCATTTGGCAGTCTTGAAGCAATGACTGCTAAAGAAATGAAGCTGCTTTGGTGAGAGAGAGGCAGTCTTCACAGGAAGGTAGGTAAAGGATAAGTAAAGATACAGCAAGCAAGGGGTAGAAAAAATATATGTTACTGCACTCGAGTCTGTTCTGTTCCATACGTTCATAAACTATCTGGTAGAACGATATAAATATTGAGCTAATGAAATCTACTCATTATGCTGAATTATTCAAGGCAAGGGCTGACTGATGAACTACAGAAGCAACTTATGGTACAACCTCTTGGACAACAGAATGATTGATAAGATTCAATGTAAATTGATTTTAGCAGAGCGCAGGGTGAGAAGAAAACAAACCTAATTTTATCTACACAATAGTAGGTAACAGAACTGAGTGTTACCCTTCAATAATGAAACCTTGAGGGTTACAACAGCTCTTTGAAAATGGCAATTCAGAGGCTGATAGTGATCAGAATTGGAAAAATAAAATATTAGTAGTGTTTTAGAACAGGCTAGAGAACCAAACACCATGTCACTGAATAAATCTATGATGAATTTTATGTTGATTATTATGCAGTTCTGCATGTTTCCCTGTCAAAAAATAATGTAATAAAACTAAAAGAAATGAAATAAAGAAAATCAAAACTATACTAGGACCTCTGTATCACATGTGACTAAACAGTATTTCTCAGTCTATGACCACTGAGTGATGATACGATGGAGTTATAGGACCACGAATGGCAATGACTTACAGTCATAATTACGCTGTTGCACAGCTGGCCACTAATTGGAGTTTGTTACCATACATTGCAGTTCTAAGGAGCTGAGCATTGTCTAGGGAAAACCAAAACTAATATTAAAGAAAAACAGTTTGTAGGGTAGGGGACTGCTTGACAAAGAAGTTCCCCAAATGCTAACCTTTGTATTTTATTATTTAATTTAAAAGTTGTTTGGAAGTTCAAGAGAAATGATCTACCTGTAAGATTCCTTTTGTATTAACTGGAAATAGAATTCTTTTATAGCATACGAACCCACTGATACCAAAAGCTCAAAACAGCTGCTAATGTAGCTGAACAAATCTAATATCTGAAAACGTCTCTGAGGTTTACAGGCTTATATCTCTTTTACAAATAACACTTTCTTATTGTAGTACGCATGCTGCTACATGCACATATACATTCTAAGTGAAATCTCCTGTTTAGGTTTATGAATAAATTTGCATTTCTGTAGTTTGAAAGGAGAATACTTGAGAGACATGGGACTTTTGTTGTAGCTTAACAGATCACTTGTATAATATAGACTGTGAAGGTAAAAAAATTGTGATTATGCAACATTAAAGATTCTAATTTCCCCAATGAGAAAATTCAAACTTGACCTTCACTTTGGTCTGTGTTGAGTGAATATTATAACAATTTTTCATAGCAAGATTAAGAATGGATTTCTTAGCCAAAGTATCTCAAATGAAGTGCAACTAATACAGTAGAAACTGAGCAAATTTTTGTAAACTCTGTTACATCCAGTATGGAACTGAATGATTATAAAGATCCTTTTCTGGACCTACAACCTAAACCCTATGAAATAAAAACTAAACTGTGCAATAGATACTGACAAAACTCTCTGTATAGGCACCTAGGTGAAAAAGAAATATGCAATTTATACATCTCATTTTCTTTCACTCATGTTACAGCATCTCACCTCCCCCAGACTATGCTAGAAAAGCACCAAGATTGCAAAGTCCAACAGAACAAATCTAGGAAGTGCTGGAGTTAAGGTGAGCAATTTGTTGAAAAAAAAACTTTCCCATTTTAAAGAAGCCATAATGAGAAAAAATTTCTTAGCTCCAAGACAGAGAGGGGACAGAGGCAAGGTTAGAAAGCAAACAGTGGCTGACATTTATTCAGACTGTTGAAAACTTAGGTTTAAATCTTTGCTCTGCCAGAGACAGACCAAAGATTTACTTCAACATGACCTTTTGTTTATCTGAGGACCTCCTCACCAGCCCTCAGTAAGTCTTCAATCCACCCACCATACTGCCTAATTTCTAAACCCATTAGTCTCTGGACTCATCTCTAGCCTTTAGAGCCTCTAATCTCTATCTACAGTACTGATAGAGTCCTGATTACAAGGCAAAAGAAGGAAGTTTTATATACTTTGATACCCCTTCTCTTAAACATCCAAGGCCTACTTAAATAAGACCACCACATCATTAGGAACTTGCAATGCCACTCATTGCAATGCGTTTCACACAGCTTCTGAAATTAAACCAGTTCTGCAGTCAGACAGCAACAAAAATTTGCTCCAGCCGCAGCCTTGCAGAGATGTTAAACCCAGAGAAAATAAGGCATACCAGAGAAGTACCAGTGCATCTGCCTGCAGACACAACCACTGATCCTTACATTGCAACTGATTATGACTCCCATTCATTCCTCAGAAAAACCATGTATGTACTCTTAATAGTTGGTTTTTGTTCCAGCATCAGTGCTAAAATACTGTTATGTGGCAAAGAGATAAAGATCTCCCGTTTCAGCCATGCAAGGAAGATGTGAGATTCTTAGTATAGCTGTAGAGATAGGTAATGTGTGAATATTTATGTATTTAATTACACATAGTGCTTGCTGTGTAATGCTTGGGAATTTACACTTCTTTGTGTGCTCTGATATCATTTACATTAACTCTGTTCATCCTGCACTGCCTCCAGGAATATCTTTATCACTTCCATGTGTGAACATTTTGTCTAATTATACTTTGATAAACTGTCATATAAGTACAATCATAGATCCTGTGCCCAAAATCTGTAAACCTTCTCAGTGAGGACAGAAGTTGAAGCTGCTGACTGACTCAGGAGCACTCCATTTTAAATTCTGTGCCTGAAGTTTATTTCAAATTAATCAAGTAGCATTATATTTATTATAGTATTTATTGATATCTTAATTCAAATATGAAACAGTTAACTCCCTTCAATTGCTATGAAAATAAAATAGGTATTAAATTCTGAAAGGAATAAATGATTGATTCCTATAACTTCTTTCTTCCTGTGGCTTCAAAATAGAATTCTGGGGTCTCAGTCTTCAAGTTTATATTCTTTTTTTCAATAGAAAATTGCAGCATGTTTAAGAACAATTTTGTCAGTTATGATGAATTCTGAAAACTTTAGAAATAAAAGAACTACAAAGCACACATCTGCAAATTCAGTTGATTTCCTTTAATATATCTGCTTAAACTGCAAAAATCTCAATAAATAATTTAAATAGAAAAACTTCTGCAATTCAGTTCCATTTTCCCAGTTATTGTCTGTTTGCATCTTTCTTACTCGTTTTTTTTTTCTTTTAATTTTAAATACTGCATATGAAGAAATAAAAGAGAGAAATGCTTGCCTGAACATTTTGAAACGGATTCTTGTTGCCATAGGATTCACTGAGGTATGTGAAATCATCTACACTAAGCTGAAAAACAAAGAGAGTAGGTTGGTGAGAAGGAGCCATGGCATTTCATTTAGGTAGACTTGTACTCAGCATTGGTGAGAGAAAAGGAATCGATGTCACATACCCTATCTTGCAGAAACAAGACGAGGTTTCTGGAGTTCTGGGTAAAAAGAGATTGCAAGAGTACTGTCAGCTCCTGTGCTGAGACAACGTGCCCTTCATGCATAGCAGGGTCTGGATTCCACTGTGATCTGCAAAGGAATAATTTTTTTTCTGTAAAATTTCCTACCAATGATGATACCTCTTCTTTCTTTAAATATGCAGCAGCAGATAACGATATCCTCATTTTTAGATTAAGTTTACAGTTTAGTTTGCTTTCATTCTACTCAACAGAAAAATAACTTGCCCACTTATTCCTGTATCTGACTGATTGTGTTAAAGCAGGAATAAATTTCATCCAACAGGGTAATGTCTTTCTCTATTTTCTTGTCTGTGTGCAACAGCACAGTTGCATCTTTCCGAAGTTAGTTACTAAGTGGAATGAAGAAGAATATGTTGAAAACCTTCAGAGAGAATTCTCAGAGGCAATCTGAAATCCCAAAACACTTACCAGCAGGTATGTTGCTGGTCAAGAGAAGTAGAACTCAGACTAGACCATAAGTCGTCATAAACTAGTAGTTTTTAATAAAAGCTTTTATTATGTAGAAATGTCTCTTCAGTGTTATTGTAAACATGTTCTCTCCTAAGGTTTTCATGATGAAGGAATCATTCTGCAGAAGCTGCTCAGAAAAGCCACCTTTCCAGCAGCAGAAGCTCTTCTGAATGGAATGGTTCAAGACACCAAGAAAAGCTCACAATTCTTTTGCCACTTTGCTAGTTGGGAAAAGAGACCAACCTCCACCTGCCTACAACCTCCTATGAGGTAGTTGCAGAGAGCGATAAGGTCTCTCATCAGCCCCCCTTTCTCCAGGATAAACAACCCCAGTTCCGTCAGCCAGTCCTCGTAAGACTTGTGCTCCAGCCTCTTCACCATTTTTGTTGCCCAGTCAGTATGTTTTCCTGGCTGATTTACTGTGAATTGCAGGGTGAAACGGAGATATGTGACTGCCACAGATTGTGGATACACTGATGGTGTGCCTTACTGAATGCAATCAACCAGTCCATCTCTTTGAACTCTTCACCTCAAGCGATCAGCAAGAGATCAGTAAGCAACGACATGGGGTGAAACGGGCAGTTGGCCAACACACATATTGATTGCTATAATTGATCGCTCACACAAAATTTTCTGTCCCAATATGCAACAGCCTTGTGCAGTCACCCACATTGCAGGTGCATCAGACTCACCACCACAGAACCATCCAGGGGTCCTCAGCTGTGGAGGCTCACAGTGACAAGCATCTTTGCTAATGTATGTGCTTTCCTGCACATAAGTTTAAGGAAACTCAAAACAAAGCATTAATTTTTCTATATAAGCATAGCATAAATGAAGGCAGTAATATATTTTCAATTACTATAAGCAAAAATCATTCCCAAAACAAACACATGAGGGCGCAATTGCAAGACTTAATGAATTTATTTCCTCAAACTCCCTCTCTTATCTATGGAGGGAGAGAAATTCTTTTGAATATTGGTTCAAAATGGCTAAATCAAATTTCTTCTGTTTATCATATGCAATAAGAATTCCTCAATCTCTCCTGCTTTGAAAAGCAACCAGGGAATATTAGTTTAAAGGCCAATGTTAGATAAAGGCACATTTTTCATGCCAAAGTTATTTGGAGAATATCTAGTGATATATTACTATTTCTTTGTGGAAAGTACAACATTGTGACCTACTGAGTTATTCTCAAGTTGAATGGAGAAAGATTGTTGTTTTTTAAAAATCACTTTTCTCCAAGTAGAGATCTGCATTTTTCTTTATAGAGGAAAGAGGTATTTGATTTACTAATGTCTCTGTAAGGACTGATATCACACTTCTCTTATGCTTTGTGCACTACATGTGTTGGTGAGTTGCAGGTTTCATCTCTAACATTATCTTTAATAGCATGATTATAGTACAATAATAATGCATAAGACAGACTTTGAAGTGTTACATTTCATAATACAGCTGGGATTTGCCTTAAAAACTCTGACTATTTCTAAATAAGAACAAAATGTAGTATTCTTCAACTATTCAATATCAAATCCTAACAGATAACGTGGCAAAGGGTGATGGAATAGATCAGTGAATCTCGGCTTCTATTGATCAGTGAAGCACTAAACTTTTAAACTGGTGGGACGTGTTCCTACAAAGTAAATAGAAATCCATTGATAATTGCTGCACTTCTGTAGTTAACTTTCCTAAAATTCTTATTAGTAGTTTCCAGATTTCGTGGGCCTGTAGATCACGCACTGTAAACCTTGCATCACTGCAAAGTACCAAGATGTAAAGCACAGAGTCAAGGGTTAGCAACCAAAATTTGCTGTTAGAGTTAATTTATTTTAGAAATAAATAAATAAATATATAAACTTTCTTTTCAGTTGCTTCATCAGCCTTCACTAGAACTAATTTCAGCTCCACAAGAACTTCTCCTTTCAAAATGCAAAGGAAAGATGGCAGAAGGAAGATTTCTTCCAGAAAATTTTCTATTTCTGAAAACACGAAACTGGCTTAACCAGTCCACTATCCTGATTTTCTTACTCTAGATTTGTATAAACCAGAACAATCTGCAGTAGAACAAGCTGATAATTGCATCTTGATGGAAAGTTTGCTTTTATTACCATGAGGGATTAACTGATAAGACTTTGTTTATATTGACAATAGGTGTGTTGCTTATATAAACCAGAAAGTAGGACAAAGGAAGCACTGATCTTTTCTTAGATGCTTAGGATCACTTTTATGCTAAGAACAGCTCTTTCCAACACTTACTTGGTTTTTAAATACAAAGGTTTATTACTCATACATATGCCCATCTTATATAGGGGTGAATCACTTAGTATTTCGAATATAAAAAACCCCTTGATGTTGAGATATCCATTTATTTTCTTCAGGAAAAAAAAGTCAAAGCTACCAAGTCAAACTTTTTCAAAATTTTTAGATTTCTATATGCAGTGGTCCTCATAGAGAACAGAGTTTCAGGTTTCGGAAATGCATAATAGATGAGTAGACACATGTAAAAGGCAGTAAATAAGTGGCCCATAGTCTTCTGACAACTTTACATATCCAGTATCGACCTGAACTTGCCCAAGTTGCCATATTTCTGGAAATCCCTAGAAATCACACAAAATCCTTAAAGTCTGCATGAATAAAATTCCTGGTTGGAAAAAGAGGAGCCTATCTCTGGTTCTTTTAAGACAGGTTCAGTCTTATTTCATAAATTATACACAAACCCCTGAATTTCATCTCTTTGGATCTGTCAAGACTCTGCAATTGCTTCTAATAACTGGTATATATATATTCAGCAGTGTATTTAAAAACCTGTATTAAAAAGAACATTGAAGTGAAAAGTCAGGGTTCAGGAGTTAGGAAATGCAAGGACTAAGGTTGCCTACACAGTTTTTGGTCAGCTCCTTTTTGTGACACTGCCTTATGGTGTGACTTTGAGTCACAATGTCTCCAACAGTCATGAGACAGACATCTCAAGGATGCCTTAGGGTGAATAAAGCACATCTACTTCAGATTTTTAGACTATGGATTTTATTTACTTCTTTCTGCCCGGTTTAGAACACCAAAGTTATAAATAAAAATGGGTAAAATGATCTATTGGGTTGTTTGATGGCCAAGAGGCAGATTTATTTATTTGAAAATTTTATTGCCATGAGCTGATTTACCAGAATCGACGCTACACAATATATAGTTCTGCGCGCACACACACAGAGCAACAGCATAAGCAGGAATACATTCTATTAGATTTCTTACCTCTGAGTTGACCAAAGCAGCATCGGCACATGATCCACAGACAGAGACATTTTGAACAGCATAGCAAGGGTGCACAGCAGCGGGGCTGGAGCAGTAGAGTAGAGCTGTGCCATGGCTCCAGGCGAGTGCACACGGAACTGGCCAGCCACAAAAGAAAAGTCCGAGCGTGTGCACAGCTGCACTTCCCGGTTGGGTTGCTGTTATCCAGATTCAGCCAGGCTGCTGGGTGACGCAGCTCTCTAACAGCAGGGGGAATTTTCAAAACATGAACTTCCTTCACTTGAACTTGGGAGTTACTCATATTTTTAATACTCTTGGGTTTGGGATTTAAGCAGCTCATAAAACTCTCTGCAGTAAAAGCATAGACTGTTTCCTCTAGTGCAAGGAAGAGTCATGAAGTCCAAACTCCTGTCCTACACAGGCTGATAAGAGAGTTGTGCAACTTCAAAATGGAGTTTATAGAAAGTTTTCTCCACTGCACAGAATGTATCCTGCAGAACTTCTATCTTCTTCCCCTGTTACATATTATCATGTCCCTCAGCTTAGTTCTTTCACATGTATTGAGAGCTGGTGTCACACATTTGGGTGTTGACAGGTTTGAAATCTGCAACAAATCTACCCATTGCAGATTCCAGCAAGAAGCAGGAGAGAGAGAAAACGTTCAGAGTGTATCCACTTAAATATGGAATTGTTAAGCTATCTTTTGCATGGAGGATGCTATCCCAGAAATCAAAAATATCTAAGTCAGGGGCAAATTATAATCACTTCAGAAACTAACATGACTTCAGTATTTCACAACTCTCATGCATGATCAAAATAGTCATGGAGAATTCCTTCATGCCAGGAAGCAAATTCCTCTGGCACACATTTTTGTGCCTGCCAAACACTGAGCTGTTTCTACACCCCGTGACTAGATTAGGCAGCAGCAGTCTTGACACGTTAGGCACTGGGCACTCCACCATCAGAATAGGATGTTAGAGACCATACACAAAAGAAACTCTGAGGTTTGTTAAAACAAGTTGTGATAAGGCAAAAATAAGGAACCACAATGACAATTGTACAAGAACTCACAAACAGATATCAGAAGACATGCATGTCTGGATCTGAGCACACATAACTGGATCACTTAAATCCACTTACCTTAGCCCAAAGCATACTGTTATAGTAAGGTTGTTTAATATAAGGCAATTTGTTCATCAATTCAATCTGAAATCAAATTTCTGGGACAAAAATAAAAATTTTGAGGGAAGCAATAAACCAAACTTCTACATGTTCCTTTTCTTTTCCATACTGATAACACAAAATTTAGCTCTTTAACTGCACTATTCCCTCTTTTTCCTCCTCCGAGATACATTAGAAATCCTACCTCTTCCCTTTAACAAGCTAGTGTTTGTTCCCCAAGAGTCACACCACGTGACTGAGTATCATCTAAACAATTCTTGAACTCTGTCAGGCTTGGTACTATGACCACTTCCTTCCACTGGGAGCCTGTTCCAGTACCCAACCACCCTCTGGGGGAAGAATCTCTTTCCAATATCCAACCTAAATCTCCCCTGACACAACTTCGGGCCATTCCCTCAGGTCCTGTCACTGGTGACCACAGAGAAGAGATCAGTACCTGCCCCTCCTCCTCCCCTCACAAGGAAGTTGTGACTGCAATGAGGTCTCCCCTCGGTCTCCTCCAGGCTGAACAGACCAAGTGACTTCAGCCGCTCCTCACACAGCTTCCCCACAAGGCCCTTCACCATCTTTGTTGCCCTCCGTTGGACACTCTCTAATAGCTTAATATCTTTCTTATACTGCAGAGACCAAAACTGTGTACTGGGTTTGTACAAAACATTTCTGGGCAACAAGTAGAAGAACAAGACCATGTGGTTTCTACCCTGCTTCCTCTTCCTCCCCAATACCATGGCAACACAAACCACAGGACCTCCATTCAATTTCTGTATATGCTCTAATCACTGTGGGCCTCATCATCACATACTGAACTTTGGATTTTCTTCACTGTTTTATTCTTCCAACATGCACAGTTGCTGGGTATACTTTCCATATTCTACCTTATAAAAACAGTCTTAAAACTTGTTGAAACAAAACTAGATTGTTTAGTCTCAGATTACCATATTACTTACGAACAAACTTTTAACCAAAACCAAACTGACTTCCTTTTTAGTATTTCTCCACAAACCACAGTTTAGGAACAACTGAAGTGAATAAAGCTTTGAAAAAAAGCAATGAAGAGAACCTATTGAGTGGGATTTTAATTCGTCTCCCTTGGTAAATTTAGCTCACAAATGTATCCGCTTATATTTTCTCCTTTTTTTTCACTCCTAAAGGGTTTTTTTGGCTAAACAATATGAAAAAATATACCTATTGCAAAGATATTTTTAAAAATATTACTTTCATTCATTTAATTGTAATTAGATGAGATCACAGTGGTTCTTTTATCTGTGAGCAGGAAACTAAACCCACTTTTGATTACTGTAAAAAAATCTGGATTCAAAAAGAAGCGTGAATGATGGAGGTAAATCCTGTAAGCCAGACTATAAGGGATGACTGTTGTAACAAGGACAATTGACAGTACAAGATAAGCCAAGAGAACTGTGCACACACAGGTGATAAAAGTAAGTCCCATTCATTTTGCATGCAAATTTGATCCTTAAGCAATAGATTTGGGAGCTAACATGATACTACAGCAGCATATTAAAGAACTTCTGGTGAGGCCACATCTGGAGTACTGTGTCCAGTTCTGGGCCCCTCAGTTCAGGAAGGATATTGAGGTGCTGGAGCAGGCCCAGAGAAGAGCAACAAGGCTGGTGAAGGGACTGGAGCACAAGTCCTTATGAGGAGAGGCAGAAGGAGCTGGGGTTGTTCAGCCTGGACAACGGGAGGCTCAGGGGAGACCTCATCACTCTCTACAACTCCCTGAAAGGAGGTTGTAGCCAGGTGGGGGTTGGTTTCTTCTCCCAGGCAACCAGCAGTAAGACAAGAGGGCATGGTCTTAACTTGTGCCAGGGGAGGTTTAGGTTGGATATTAGGAAGAAATTCTTTACAGAGAGAGTAATCAGGCATTGGAATGGGCTGCCCAGGGAAGTGGTGGATTCTCCATCCCTGGAGGTTTTTAAGATGAGACTGGATGTGCCATGGTCTAGTAACCATGGTGGTAATGGATCAAGGTTGGACTTGATGATCTCAGAGGTACCTTCCAACCCAGTTGATTCTATGATTCTATGATTCTTCTATCAGCTCAGATAATAAACATATTCAAATTTAGGCTCTTTAAAAAATAAATAATATTTAAAAGAATCCAAGATTTGGATGATTTTTTGTTTTTAATCTCAGTTACTATTAGCATAATTTCCTATTGAAAAAGTATTTTCTATATGCCAAATAGGAGTCAGTAACTTTGTGTTACCCTGACATATTTAATTTATAATCCTGCTTTATCACTGTTTACAATAATTGTATTATCTAAGAAGGCAACTAATGTTTTGTTCATTAGGACATCTTTTTAGGGCAAGGAGCTGGGGGAAACAGCTTCTTCTTCCTTTGAGACATAAATAGGGAGATTTACATCCTGGAAAAAGCATGGATTTTCCTCTTGGAGTGGGAAAGCAAAATGCATGTGTTTCCTTGCAAATTACCATATTACTCACTTATGCATGTGGGAAGACAGCTAGAATTTTTCCCTCTGAAAATGAATTGCCAGTGGTGTTGGAGGTGGGTTGAAGGCAAATTTTGCTCCATGTTCCAAAACTCTTGCTCACAAGAGTCCTGTGAGGAAAGCAGTAGGTGTTGATGGGCCTCATGTCTCTGCTAGTGCAGAAGGAGCAATACAGGCCTTATGGGCCACTCCCCTTTACCTGGGAGTGTCCAGGAAAGAACTGATTCAAACACAGCATCTCTCCTGTGTTTGAACAGGAGGGTTCAGGAGTGTGAATTCCTCCTGTGCTTAACCTCTGAGCTGTGATTTAAGAGACTTAATAAGCTTATCACTTCAGCCACTTATCAGAAGTGAATGGAGAAGGTTAGAATTTCACCTCACAGTCTATTCTCCTTTGAAGAGGCACTGACAATTTACAGTCATTTGTTCTCATTATCCTGGAAGTACCTATGCTCCAAAGCAGACACCTTATTACCAGCAGATCCTAAAACCATCTTGTGAGTAACTCTCTGAAATTCAAGCAAAGATGATCAGCTGTGCTTGTAAAGAATTTAATCAGTTCTATTAGAAATTGTCAGGTCTGACCTTTTATCTGAATAGTTTTCTTTTCCTGATAAAATGCAATGACTGCTCCTAAAACTCTAGTATTTTTACTCTTCCTCTGATCTTTTCAGTCAGCTTTCCCAGTATTCTCCATTGTCTGATACAGAGAACACTTTAATTCTTCATACTTCTCCAGTACCATTTCAATATCATATATAAGCTACATAAATGGGGGAAGCAATTCAGTAACTATGGGAGAAAAGTTTTAAATTAATTCCTTTTCAAATGCAATACAATTATAAATGCTATGGACAAAAAGTGGTAAAAAAGTCATTGGTTTTAAATTCAGTAACAATATCAATAAAGCATTTATAATGATCCAAATTAACAATTAAAGACAACTAACATGAAGGATTTTATAGTGATTTCAATTATGATGCATTTTTTTAAAAGCTATACTACTGTAATTATGTTGGCTTTACTTGGCTTTGCCCTATCAAGAGAACTCAGATATCCGACATATTGAAAATACTTTTCCATTTTGCAACAGCTCTCTTTCCATACATTGTATCCTCCAAAACTTTCAATTTCTATGCTTTCAAAAGGCATTTTTTGAAACTGATTTGTAGGACATTAGTATTCATTTCATACAGGTAGACATTTATTTTGCGGACAGTCATGTCCCAAATATCAGTGAAGTATCCAATTCACTATAATTACAAACAAATTTTAACTATTTACACAAGAGCTTTTACAGTGTGATTAAATGGCACTGCCATTGTTAGGAGCTACCAAATGCTGGTGATGAATGAAGTTACATCCACTCGGTGGACAGTCACAAGTGCTGTCCCCCAAGCCTCAGCACTGTGGCCAGTCCTGTTTAATGTCTTTTTTGATGATCTGGATGAGGAACTGAGGGCACTCTCAGTCAGTTTGCAGACAACACCAAGTTGGATGAGAGCGCTGATCTGCTGGAGGGTAGGAGGGCTCTGGAGACA